TACATCTTGGCAGCAGTGGGAACGTTGAACAAATTACAGGGGGATATTTTCCGTATCTCTAGCTTTGAAAGTAACACTGAGGTTAAAAGTGCTTACTGGACAAGAGTTTTGTCATCAGGGGCGTACGTAGAGCTGAAATTAAACAGCGACCTAGCATCTTATATCAAATGCAATAAGCCTTGTCAAGTTGTGCAATATATCAGAGGCGGGGTGATTAATGGGAAACATGCAGGGCCTTCGATGTTAATTCTTCCTTCAGTGACACAATTTCTCTCGTATTACCACGTGGCACTTCCTCGAAGAGCGGGTTTTAATGATTCATTGACAATAATTATTGAGAAGGAAAAGATGGATGGTTTATATAGGGATGGATTGAAATTGGATGGCTTACGATGGAAAAGCATCAGTGGGACAAAATATGTTTGGACGATTATAGATTTATTTAATGTCAGTGCTGTCACCGTATATCATACATCTTCCTTAGTAAAATTTGGTCTTCTTGTATATGGATGGAATAATGGAGCTTCCTATGCGTACCCTGGTGGTTTTGATTTAAATAATAGCTCAAATGGTAAGTCACAAGTTATTTCTTTATACGATAAAAATGTGAATTTTATGGCATGTATCTTGCACACGTCCTAAAAATTGGTCGAATCGCTGAAAAGTGGTACCGGTGTCAAAGAGTGGAATTTAAAGAGGGAAATAAAAATATATTGCTAAATTAAATTTTCACAAAATCTTTTTCTAAGCAATTGCATGGAATTCTTTTAGGAATTTTGGTTTCCAGTGGTTTTTAAGGAGGTTCCATACCCTTTACAAGCATAGAGGACTAGGTCCGAGGATTAAACATCGCGCGCTATTCATTTACGAGCTAAGAAGCTCGAACGCCTAAAAGCGCGCCTTTGGTAACATGCGCCGGCGCTGCTTACGAATGCACACGCATGGCAATTAATTGATTATATTTTGCAAGGGTTGAAAACTCTTGGCCGTGCTATTGGCGAGCATTCTATGAAAATTTGCAAAATAACAATATTCCTTTAAACCAATAGAGTATTAAAACTTAAAAAATCTGAAGACCATGAAAACAATATAATGTAAAATTAAAGAATATCACAAAATTTTCTGTGAAACACTTGGTAAATAAATACTTAAAATTGATAGTAATAATTAGGTGTTTATACCGGGAAACTGTATGGAGCTTCCTTCAAAGCGTAAATTGACTTTCTGTTACGATTGATATCAGTAGAAATACTACCCTATAGCTTATCAGCAGTGTATCGAAAGCTTTTTAAAGAAGTTATTACATATTACTTAGAAGTTATGCTAGTGTAGCTCAGAGCTTTCGTCAATTAAGGTGACAAAAAGGAAATGATGTCAATGCAGATTTGCACGAAACTCTTTAAAAAGTTCGCCAACACGATGGAATACATCAATTTAGTAGAGTGATTTCTATAGCCATTATATTCTTTTAGACACTGATATAAATTAATGAACTCAAAACTGCAGAACCTGCAGAACCTACCTTTTCAATCATTGTTAAATATTATTTACTGCGAGTAAAATGGCCGTCAAGTTTGTCGTAGCAAGCACGGTAATTGGGAGGGTCCATATTCATATATTTCATGTTGCATAATTAATATATTTTCAAATCGATTATCTACAGTCTGTTAATATGAATATATGAATGTGTACCCCCAATTATCGAAGCCGGCTACGTCACTGTCGACTAATACAATGGTGAGGTTACATGGGTGTGTTTTTAAAGAAAAAATGGAATAAGAGTAAAAACTTTCACTTGCAGAATTGCAAATTCATGGATGATTGCGTGGGCGTGGAAGGCATTTTAATTTTCGATTCACTATTTCAGCAAGAGTGAGCTCTCCATATTATTATACAGTTATTATACAGGGTGTATCAAAAAAATGTCCCAAATGTAAAATTTTCGTTTTTTCAGGATATTTTGCAGATTTTGGCAAATTTTTGTGTTCCTAGAGATAGTTAAGACTTACCTGGTATACCTAGGCCACGTTTGGTTTTTCATAAACAAAATTATGTTACCGGGGGGGGGTGGTTCCTTTCCACTGATATTGAGAGGGCTTGCGCGCGAAAATGTGAAGCTGAAATTGAGATATTATATAGCTGTCTAAAAGTAGGGAAATATCCTGAAAAACGAAAATTTTACATTTAGGACATTTTTTTATACAACCTGTGTAAAATTGTCCAAGTCTTTATACCCATTTGGAAAATTAATATTAACAACGCGCAGTGTGCGAAGAAAAAAGTGAAACCTTATTATTTGCAAACGCCTGATTTCCGGCAGACAAATTATTATATTTCCAATACCTTTCTCTAGATGGAAAGTCATCAAAGGCTTTGTTACAAATTCCGTCGTACAAATCTAGGATGATAGGTAAATATAAAAATGATTATTCTTTCTTCAATTTAGTCCATAACTGAAGTTTATTCAAAGTAAATGAAGTTTTTCACTAATTTAAGTAAGATCTTTCTAGCTGTGATGATTTATTTTCTTCTAGTTACTTCGATCAAAAATAATTATAAAAATAATTATTAGTCTAAAGCGCTAGTCGTCCATTTAAAGGTTGAATTTATTCTGTATTCCGTAAAAGAAGAAAAAAATTTTTTTTCCCCTTATGGCGTATTAATGGTGCACTGGAATGAATGTTGGCTCAGCAATGCTCAAGTTTAGAAGCACTTTTCGTGGTCTTTCAACTTTCTTCCAACTTGCTTTAAACATACTTAGCTTGAGGTGTGGGACGTATAAAAGACGATATGAGTCATATGACCATTTTATGGACGTGTCATTACTCTTAATTTTAATTATGATCATTTTAATCATGATAGGAAGGAGGAAGCATTAAAATGGAATGATCAATTTCTTTTTAAATCAATTGTTTTTCAGTGTATTTACGTTAAAACCATGATCACTATAGGCTTCGTTAATAATCGATTTTTCTTACAGCAATGTAAAAATATGTATTTTCTCTTTGTCAAGGTACTCAGGGAAATTATGGAAGACATTTCGTCGTTGGATTTACCTCCCAATATGCAACTGGTCAAAAAAATTACATTGAAGTATCTATTCTTGCACAAAATAAAACGAATGTGAGAATTTATAGTAATCAAACAGACAGGCTATTGAGTTTGACTGAAAATATTAGAAATGCAGGAATTTTTCGGGTGATACTGCCTAATTCTTTTCGATGGAAACGAGGATGGCTTCAGAAAGGTATCGAAATCCTTTCATCGGCAGATATTTCAGTGTTGTGCTTAAATGTCGGTGGCAGTTCTTACAAAACGGATGGAAACTTGGCCTTGCCCACAAACACTCAGGGTTTAGTTTATGTTATAGCATCATACTGGCCGCATTTTAAGAATTTGAGAGCAAATATAGCCGTAATATCAGCACATAATAACAACAAGGTTATCATTCTTCCCAGCCGAAACGCGATTATAAATTATCGAGGTAACTGGTATGATAGCAAATCATCACAAATACAAATAACCCAAATACTCCAGAAACTTGACACGCTATATGTCTCAGGTATATCAGATTTATCTGGAACACTCGTCATTGCAAGCAAACCAGTCACTGTGATATCTGGTGTAGAACAGGCTAAAATTGGGAAATGGTGTAATTTCATGGAAGCAACCTTGTTGCCTGTTTCAATCTGGGGATATGAATATATCTTAACAACACTTGCAACCATGGAAAAATCGCAGGGAGATGTTTTTCGAGTCTTTGCCTACGAAAATAATACTGTTGTTCAAAGTGCATACTGGACAAAAGTTTTATCATCTGGGACATATGAAAACGTATCATTAAATAAAGATTTGGCGTCGTATGTTAAGTGTAATAAGCCTTGCCAAGTTGTGCAGTATATCCGAGGCGGAACAATTAACAGAAAACGTGCAGTACCTTCGATGTTAGTTCTTCCATCAGTAAGTCAGTTTCTTTCTTATTATCACGTGCCAGTACCAAAAGGTGAAGAATATCATCATGATTCAATCACAATAGTTATAGAGAAAAGAAACGTCGATGGTTTATATTGGGATGGACTGAAATTAAAAAGCTTAAGATGGAAGACTATCACTGGAACAAATTATGTTTGGACGGTGATAGATCTACTAGATCCAAACATCATAACAGTGTATCATGCTTCTTCCTCTGTAAAGTTTGGTCTCCTTATATATGGGTGGAAAGATAGGGCTTCATACAGTTATCCTGGTGGCTTTAGCTTACATAATAAATCAAATGGTAAGTTAAATGTTTTTGCCTTTCTGAAAAAAGCTGCAAGGTTTACCATCAATGCATTAATTACGTAAATTATGAAAGTTAATTCATCGTCCATGCATATATACGATGCACGTTAGATGTTCAACGGTCATTAATCGTTTACGCATGCGTGAAATTTGAACATGTTCTGCTACTCAGCAACTTTATATGATTGCGTCAAATTGTTTATATTAGAAAAATCTCAATTGATATAAAAAAATTAATTGTTGATTTGCTGATCGTTCTACTTTCAAGACAGTGGGTACTGTAATTGACGCGGAGACGCGCATGCCATTCATGCAACTTTCTGTATTTGTCCAGAAAATCCAGCCCTCCATATCAATTTCTCCCCCGTTACAGTATAATAGACATTCAATATTTTCTCAATTTTTATTCGAATTGGCAAAGGGAACAATTATTTATTCGCCATGTTTTCAATATTTTGTTCAGATATTAGTTCATTGTTGTCTGCAGTTCCATCGTACAAGTCCAGGATCGTAGGTGAGTTATAGCTAAATACTCAACTAAAGTCAACTTAATTGCTTCAAATTATATTTCTCCTATTGATAGTTATAATGCAAAGACTCAGGTGTGTATATTAAATGTATATATGATGTTATATATATGATGTTATGATCAATTTAAGACACACAGATATGGAAGGGACTAGAATCAGGTCCGAAATATCAAACATTCGAACCGTCTTGACCTTGTAGCTCAGTTGGAAGAGCATTCGACCAGCAAACCAAAGGTCGCGGGTTCGATTCCCACCGTGGTCAAGCTAACTCTCCAGCTTGCCCGGTTGGTGACTCAGAGTAGCAACATCATATATATTTCTTCTTTTACTTGAAAAGAACGATATTAGAAATATTAGATAAAAATACAATAGCAAAATATTGATAAAAAAAAGGTCGTTTTAAGAAAAGAAGTTTGTGAAATAATAAGTGCGCCCAATATTTACATGATATAAAGATGATATAAAATTTTCTTATTTACAAATGTGGGCTAGGAGCCTACCAGAAACCATAATTATGGCTTTTATTTTAGGCCCCTAGTTTACTGAACTAAAATAGTTTCTGATTAAGAGGAGTTTTATTAGAAAATCGCGTATTGGGCGCTCAAAACTAAATTAAGATTTAATCGAATGAATCGGGTGGTAACATGGCGGCTGGTTCTTATATCGTGTGAGTACTTTACTGCGTGTTTTCACATAGTATTCTATTTCCCAATACTCCCCTTGTAAGCTCAGCAGAATAAGGTGTGGGTGAAATTATTGATCCGCCGAACAAACAAGGAGAGAGCGTGTTGGTCCGGCCAGGGAAACCACACGAATTTACCGGGAGGGTGGGAGGGCAAACCTCAACTCTTCATTCTCGAGGAACTTGACTTTTAGCTCTATCAACAGCCGCTAAAGTACTCTTTTTATACCTACTCACTGTTACATCACTTCCTTCATGCTAATTCTACTTCCTGTTGCATTTAATAACCTTATTTCCTGCTTCGCATCTACTGGGAGCATTGTGAATAGTATTCTATTTCCCAATACTCCCCTTGTAAGCTCAGCAGAATAAGGTGTGGGTGAAATTATTGATCCGTCCCCCTTCTCTGGCGTAGACGCTATTGCAGTGACGTAGCCAGCCCCACATAGTATGTACCACAATAACGCAACTAATTAATTCCGCGGTGGTGCCGGCAAATATGTGCATACGTATATGGATATATTCTACGAAAAGACCGCTGTCTACGTCACTGCGTCGCACTCTTTATAAATCAATAACGTGTCGAGTAGATCCTCCTTATTATACTCATTATTCCCAAACCTCATCCCCATTCCTTTTTTTTTTTAAATAACAATATGAAAACTATGTCTCGGGTTTCGTTGACTTCTTCGTTTTCGAAACGTTTCGTTGATTCGGACGTAGGGAATGCACAGCAGAAGCGTTTAATTTCGTTCAGTTCTTTCCACGCAGCAGTTCCTTCGGAGAGGTCTTGCGATGCAAGTACACCTGGGCGTAAGACCTTAGCGAGTTTAATATAGTACAAGGCAGTGTGTCGGCGAGTCCATCCCACATGATCCATAATGTCAGATAGGTCAGCACCAGATAACGCCAACGTTATAGCACAACCTGACCTGAATCCGTGTAGGTTTTCTCCATCATCCGCCTGCATTTCACTAAGATAGACCTTTAAACGAGCCTCAGCCGTAGAGGAGTTAAACGGGGAATTAGCCACTCCACCCTTCGATGTTGTCGGGCGAAATAAATAACCATGCGTTAAATCTATGTTTAGCTGCCTCGCGATTTCCACGTACCGTTCGATTGCAACAATTGGGCAAATGGTAGTATTAGGACTACGCCTTATACCAAAAACATTAGAATCCTCATCCCTCAGTGTTTTGCCCCACACATGGTTGAACAAAAACCCATCGTCGTTGGGAAAACGAAGAAGACCAGGCACCTGAACCTGGCCCATATCTGCAGGTCGGTCACCGCTAAAGAAAACGGCCTTGAAGTACGCTTGATCCCGGGCGAGGATGAATTTTTGAATAGAAGAGATACCGGGATGAGTTAAAGAAATATCAATGTGCTGGGCCAGCTGCATCAACTTATCCAAAAAGAATGGAGTAGCTTGTTTGGCCGTGACTCTAGCTTGGAGTTGTTCCGTGGCCATCAGCCGAATGTAAGCTTTGAGAGACTGGTCTGCAGCAGGATTTCCCAAACACAAACGTGGGTCCCATTCACCATCACGGCCTATAGAACGAAAAATGGAGCGAAGTTTCCCAACGTACGAATCGACTGTTTTATGCGAAAGGTGAAAGGGGCAATCACATGGGTGAACGCCACGCTGTCCCAAAAATTCACAAGCCGCTTTATGTACCTGTGTTATACCATGACGATCTTTTAATACCAGGAAGCGACATAAATCGCGTGGTGTTACCGTTGTCAATGTAGGATGGCCTGGGAGAGATGCTAAGAAGTTTTCGAGTTCGTTCCGTAAGGCGTCCTTTTGGCGAGAGTAACGTGTAGTAAGATCAAAAACTTTAAGCTGCTGGAGACGGGCATCAATTTTCGAAAAATCAATAGGTTCACCGCGTGGGATACGAGGTGTACCAGAACACTTGCGCTGGTAGCCACACATTTGGCAAAAACGAAAATCATGATCATTGGCGTGACTACAAGTCCGACAGCGTACAGACAGAGTGAAAAGTTTGGCAACGGGAGGAAGATCCTAAAAGCACACAAAGTATTGTCACGAAAAATAACAGAAATCGGTTGTGAAGGTTTCAGTTGAACTTGAGAGCGAAGGCCCAGAGATCACCTGGAAGACCTGGATGAGGTTGCCACCCACTTTTGGTTGGGACGAGCAATGCAGAACGGCTACCTTCGCAGTCCAAGCGTAGACGTTTAACGGAGTGTCGGAGCAAGAGGGGCCACCAATATTGGCGCGGGTATGTATCCATCATAACCAATGTGCACGAAATCGAATGGCTGCGTAGAAAACGAAGCACTGCGCCCACTAAACTTTGAGGGGGAAAAAACGTAAGGTCTCGCCAAAGACGATGAGCTGCTAGATAGGTCTTGAGCAAAGAGGTTCACCCTCATGAAATGCGGAGAGGAGGCCGGTGTGAAGTGTGGTAGGCGATGTCCGTGGATGTCAGTCATCACATTAGAGTCCAGTGACATAAGGTCGCACGTGTGTCCCGCTGGACCACCAAATTCACGCTGGACAATAGCCCAAACCTCTGGGTGGGGGTGGCTATCGATGGCGGATAGCCGCCGTGAGGGCATGTCTGCCATATTGCTTTCACTCGGAACATACGAGACGTGTAAGGCAATGTTCAACTTAGCAGTTGTAAAGAAGAGGCGTTTAATAGCGCGAGACAATGCCACACTTCTTCCTCCTTGGTTATTCCAAGCATGTACCACGGCTTGATTGTCAACCAAAACGTCGACACGTGCATTGAGGAGGTGCGACTGATAAGAAAGCAAAACCTTATCTAACGCGGCAGCTTCTCGAACACAAATGTCCCATGTCAGTTCCCCCGGCGTCCAATAATCGGAAACTGTTGGGGCATCCATGGAAATCATGGATCCACCCCACCCAGAACCAGAAGCATCTGAGGCAAGTTTAATTTGTACGTGTCGTTCGTCACGCCACGGGAGCGGGGAATCCCAGTCCTCCAGGAACAGCCAATGAGCAATCTCTTAATTCAGCATTTGGTTAAGATAAACTGGGCGGTTACCGCAGAGGCCGAGACGAATGGCAGCGTTCATTTCTCTGGTAAAAAGTAGGGCTGCTGGCACAGCTAGTGAAAATGAGGCGCATTTTCCAACGAGGCGTTGAAGGGTTTTCACGGATACAGTTGAGGATGATAGGATGTCTCTAACCCAAAGGAGTAATTTTTCTTTCTTGTGAGGTAACAAACGGAAGACCTCCCGAGTAGAATCTACAAGGAAGCCGAGGTAGGGGACTATTTGCTGAGGAACAACGATGGATATCGTTAGAGCCAAGAAATATCCCAAAGTAACCAGATAATAGGCGACAATAAAGATGGCAGACTGTGCAGCAGCGAAAGAACGAGAAGCAGTGTCTGGTAAGGCCGAAAAGACCCCTTGGGATAACGACTTGTAGTTGGCTAGTATGGCGGTCGTCAATATAAAGTGAGCACGGGATGCCCTTGGAGCGGAAAAAATGAGAAGCAACCAATCCGGTTGTGTGATAGACATATGGGGACGTCTTCCACCCAAAAGGCAATGTGTTGTAACTGAACAACCAACCGCCCCATTGGATGCCAAAATACCTGCGGCTCTCCACAGTGAGGAGAAGATGGCCGTATCCCGAGGGGAACGAGGCTGCTTAGATGTAGACGGCGGTGATGGCCCAGAGTCGTCCAGTTCCCGTTTGCGTTTGCGGCAATGAGCTTGAAGATGGCCCGGAATGCCGCAATAGAAACACCGGATGGGAGGTCGGTAGGAAGGTCTAGGAGAGGCAACAAATCGACGTCCAGGAGTTTTCTGGCTTTCTTGGAGGAGAAGGCGTGCGTTCCGTTTCTCAACTTTAGCAACAACATCAAGAACCTTCTCCTGATCCTTATCGCCAAGTAATGGGAGGAGTAAGTCACGAAATTGCTGGTCGGACTGATCCAGCTTACCACGCAGAGTTTCGTAGACCAAAGCGAAGTAATGTGCTTTTTCGTGTTTCGTATCATGAGCAGCATGTTTTATTGATTCGACTAATTCGAGAGCCTCGTGTTTGTTGAATTGTGTGAGCGGGCGAGAAGCTAAACGAATGAGACGTGTAAAAGTTGCCTGAACAGATGTCTCTGTTAGTCCATCCATGGTGTGCTTTAATTCATCGTATTTCTTGCGGAGGCTCTACAAGTGGGCGAAAAATGAATATCAACATGCGCCCCAAGCAGTGCAACAACATACAATAATAGCCCTCTCGTTTTTTGTTTTGTTTTTTTTTTCTTTTTCGTGATCGGTATTGGCACAACCATGCAAACATTGAGGATAGGAAGAAACACATCGACAAGGCAATCATCTTCTGTGATCAATACCTGAACCCCACACCCAGCATGCAGTCACTTCCGAGAAACACATCAAGTAATCTTCGGTGGACAATACTTGAACAACAGATCAAGCAATCACTTCACAGAGAAACACAATCTCCTGTGATCAAACTTGAACCACACGCCAAGCAATCACTTCACAGGGAAACCCGTTAAATAATCTTCTGTGGTCAATACTTGAACAACCTGCCAAGCAATCATTCCACA